ACATCGTCCACCGTGCCACATGTGACATGCTTCAAAGCCGTTCCGCTCATCACAACAGCGTCATGATCATTCATCCTGTGGCATACAGAAAGATGGAGGACAATCGCCATGTAGAGAGAGGCGCGGTGATTCCGGCAAACGGAGGCACCGCGATCCGTCTGCGCCACCCACCCCACCGCGCAGACAGCGGAGAGGACGATCGGGGAGACAACCTGAAGGTCACTCGGCTTGTTGGCAGTTGGCGCTGCGGCGATTGTCGTGGGGCTGTTCAAGACAAAATCCAGAATGTGTTGAACCAAAAGCTCCCCGAGCGTCGTGTCGTTCGCAATGGCCCCAAAGGAATTTATCACCGCCTCGCTGTGCGGGAGTTGTGAACGCAGCAGGGCAACAAAGCAAGGAGCGACGTGATGACGAGTGAGGTTACGGATGCTTGTCTGCACTCCGCTCCGCACCTGCTCCGGTAGATTGTCTCTTTGAAGTGCTGCAATGAGGCCATCAAAGACTTCTCGCACATCGGATGCGTCCAACACGCCACCACAACCCCGAATTAAACCATGCATAGTGATGCACGCACCAGTAGCAGCGTATTTTTGAGTATCAAAAATGCTGTTAAACAGCAGTGCTTTAATGAGTGCCGTGGTGTCCTCCCGCTGCTGTAGTTGCTGTGCAAGAATGGTACACATGCTCTTAACAACAGAAACAGCCTCCTTCTCAGAGCTCAACGTGCCATCATCCACAAAGGCATGGGCTCGCTTTCCCAGTTTCAATATTTCCTCTGTCACCTCTTCCTCCATCTGCTGGGGGTTTTCCATGAACAGACGAGCCGTTTGAATGCCCGACACAATTCCATTTGCGGCCTCCATCCTCACGGAGGGGCAGCGGTCCATCATGCGCGGCACCAATCGCCCAAGGATACACCCCATGCTAACTAGTGTATGTGGTTGCTCAGCGGAACCATCAGCGCCAGACTCCCTGCTCGCTCGGCAGGCAGCCAGAACGGTCACGACCAACTTCACGGCTAGGCACCTTGCACCATCGTTCTCAAGGACTGTCAACGGTGCAAGTTCCCCAAGCACTCTCATTGCATATCGGCAATCACGGTGACGAAGAACCTGAACAAAAAGATTCGTCACATTCACATCCTTCTCGGCGTTCACCATGTGACACTCAGTTACGCTTACCTTGACAAGCTCAATCAGCGCCGCAGTGCCATTATCTCCGAGAGGTGGCAGCAAAGTACATGAGACAATTGATTCCAAGGCAGCAAAGGCAGTGGGATTTGTTTCTTCCTTTGTTTTTTTCTTTGACGTCATTTGCATAAAGCGAACAGACGACAGTATAAATTCATCTCGACACTTAAAGAAATAAGAGTCTAGTCGTGCAATAGCAGTACCCACAAGGCGGCAACCCTCAAAAAGTGATATTTGACACTGTGGTGTGTGGCCCTCACGCAAAAGCGTCAGTAATGATGGAAAGACAACCGTGTCGAGGCGAGAGGGTAGCGCGGCAATATCCATACATTTACAAGCATACCCAAAACCAACTGCAGCAACCGAGCGGGATCCTTCTACAAACACTCGCTTCGTTTTTTCTCTTGAATGAAAAAAACCCCGCTTTTCCGCGCCCTTGGCAAGCCGGCACAAAGTTTCCAGGGCCGTGTCCACGTGTTTTTTCGCCACGTACCCAAGGCACTTGGCCAGACCAATGACGTGTTCCGGATCATCGTGATTGGAGGCATTTACGGCGGTCTCCACGGCGCTGGCTATGAGGTCGCGACTCGCCGTTCGGCTACATCCAATGCCCACAATGATGAGTGCACTGCGAAACATGCGTGCATCCTGTTGATACGCCTGCAGAAGACTCAAGCATTCCGTCGTAAGATGCATGGCCCACTCCTCACTTTGTTTCACCTTCAGTGTCTTGTCGACCAGCCGCTCAACCTCCACCTCCCACACTTCCCGTGCAGGCTCCGTCGTCAGAAGCTGTTGCAGGCTTGGAATGAAGGTGCTCCACAACTCGGTAATGGGCATGGCGGCACCCCCGCCCTCCTCCACAGATTGAGCGTATGGGTCGTCTATAAGAGGGGCGACAGACAACGCCGCCTCCAATATGGTGAGAAGCTCCTCAACACGATAAAAACCAATGAGCATGGACTGTGAAAGAAACACCGAGACAAGCATTCCCGGTGAAGGAACATTGACGTGCCTTGAAAAGTCCACATAAAAGCACGAACTGTTATGCGATATTCGGCTCGCCAGCTGAGTGATGACGTTGCAAATGGCGGAAAAGGCACAAAGAAGAAAAGGTTTGGCAGGATATTCACGCATGTGCTCAAATATAAACGGCCATAACTGAGAATCCAATGCGCCCTTGGACGAGGCCACAAGCATCAACCCGTTGCGGCTAATATCCCTAACCGCAATAAGGCCTTCATCCACGTCATCGTGAAGAGAGGCACAGTGGATTAAATATGATAACATGTCACTGTATCCCACCGCCGAGGCAAAATCCGCTTCGGAGGAACAGATTGTTAAGATGCACTCCACCACAGCCCTCCGCACCATTGAATCCTCATGCGATCCTAATGCCAATTTCACAGTGGCAACAATATCATTGACAAAGGGTTGAAGGAAGAGCTTTTGATTCCTACTCTGCAATACGAGCATGCGCAGGATGAAAACTGCGGCGCAGCGGAGATGTAACTCTTTCTTCGCCTCCAAAAAGGCCGATAAGTACGCAAGAACCTCTGCAACAAACGAGTCTGAAATAGCCATAATAACGGCAAAAATCTCCTCCTTGGTTTCTACATCTTCTGCACCGAGATGCTCCAATGTCTGCATGATGGCTTGAAGTGTCCCCTCCACGAATGGCCGTAAAGAAGAGCGCACCCCATCCGTAACGTACGAAAAGAAACCCACCAATCCACGCAAGGGAAACAATACATCGTGCCCTTTTTCACGCCGCACGCCATAAATGACCAACGGAGCCACCTTCCCTGCCAACTCCATCCTTTTCTCATCTCCACAAACCCCAAAAACACATCCGACAGCATAGACAACCAAAGTGCGCACACGACGCTCGTTGCAGCGGCTGTAGTCGCCAAGAAAAAAGTTCAATGTGGAGTACATTAAATCATTATACTCTTCTAAAGGGCTTCGTGCATCAAAACGCATCTTCACTAGTGCCTCCGCAAGACTCCCGCACGCCCGAGAAAGCAGCATTCGATGGTTGTCCTGCCTTGCGATCCCCAAAGGAGGCAACAGTCTCGTGAGAAATTCCTTGACGTATGGCAGAATGCGCTCAGGCACCTTTTCCGCAAGGTGTGAAATGGCCAACAGCACGTAAAAGTGTGGGAGTGTGTTATCCCCTAGAGACGAGAGCAGCTCACGGCAACCTTCTGCAGGAAAAATGACGCAGAGTCCCACAACCAAGCGTAAAGCTTCTTTTGATAACTCTGAGGTGAGATCGGAATTGACGGTCATCTCCCGTATGCCGCACTGCAACAGAGCGATTGCCTCGCGTGTGGAGAGTTCCTCATCGCCGACGCCCCCCACAATCGTTGCCATGGCGCAGACAACTCCACATCTTTGTATGACTGGGGTGGAACTGGCCCCATGTTCATTCAGCCACGTCACGCAAAACCTCAGGACGGCAGATGTCCCGTTCTGCGACAACTTCGCAATGGCCCCGATGGCCTCCCGCCTAAAAATTGGACCCCCGCTGCCCACACTGTCAATAAGGGCCGCCAAACAGTGTTCGGCTGCTGTTTTCATCGCGTCTTTCCCCTAAATAAAAAAAAAAATTCAGGAAAATCGCCTTAAAAAAAACGGCAGTGTGTACTACGGGGAGGGGGGGAAAGAAACCAAAAAAAGAAAATAGCACGGCGGAAAGACAAAAAGGAAAGAAAAAAAAGCCAAACAAACAAAAATAACAAAAAACAACATTGCACTCCGATGCACTGGGCAATCATGTCATTAAAGGTGAGGAATGCGCCAGAAATATTGCAAATTCCATCACATTGATCCTTCGGGATTCAACGCATCGTGGCAGACCCTGACCGCAGTGCTCAGAGCCCAAAATCTCCCGTACGCCCACGTGAAAAAGAGCCAAAAGAAAAAAGAAAAGGGAGTAAACACCCAATTTTTTGGTTCAGGCGTCAGTTGTCCTTTCCCCCCACCCTCCCATTCGTGTCCACAAGTTGAAAGAATGTGTGTTGCAGTGTCCCCCCGGCTGGCCATGAAAAAGGCCAAAGATGTTTGCATCGCATAATAGGAGAGGCAACAGTTCTTCCGAGAAAAATGATAAAAAGTGAAACTCAAGAATTATAATAAATAAATAAATAAATAAATAAAACAAAGCCCCCACCATCTTCGTTAGTGCATTGATGCCTTTGATTGCAAGCTGCATCCATGGACCAAACGGGAAGAAAAAAAACCCACAAGCCAAAAGCCATTGTCCCAGTAGAGCTCAAATAAAAACAATCGGTTTCGCAGTGCAGGGAGCAAAAGATGTACTGCCCCTCCCTCCCCCTTCTATGGTCATTCGCCTCGCAAAAACCCCAACATCGGCCGGGTGCCTTTCATCTCGTGTTCACCACTACTTGGGGCGGTTCCGCCAATTCTCCTTCGTTGCATATGCCCTGTAGAAAAAAAACAAAAAAAAACATGGGAAAAAAACCGCAGTTATCCATGACTCCAATAAATTGTCCTGGAAGCCGTTTTTTTTCTCTAAAACAAACAAACAAACAAAAAGAGAGTAGCACACATCCTTTTAACGCACAAACAAACAAACAAACAAACAAACAAACACAAAAACACACACACAAACACACAGCAATAATAATAATAACAATAATAATTTAATTTTATTTTTTATTTTGTTGTTATTGTGAGTGCATATTGCAATTGCATTCCCAGCCATCAGTCCGGGAGTGGCATCATTCGGTGAGGCATCGCTCTCCAAAACGCGGATCGGCGCAAGAATGCAGAGGGAATACCTAACTAAAAAAACAACGAACAGCATGTAATTTCAGGAGTCGGTGGTCTTTTTACCTTTGAATCCATTGGCGCCGGCGTTTTTTCTTTTACCGGTTCGTCCTTTACAGGGGAGGTAAACGCCCCGGTGAAGCGATGATTCCATTTCTGGGGATCGGCCACGAAATTGGCCTCCACAAAGGAGCTGTTCTTGGAGACAGGGATCCCTCCTGAGGTGTCTGGAAGGGACAATTCCGGAAGGGTACTACGTCGTCGTGCTATCCTCTCCTCCACGTGCTGCAACTCCACGGGAGCCGACAGGGACAAGTTCAATTCATTGGAATTCGCGTCCGCAGGAAAAGAAGGCATGGCCTTGGGGGAGATACCAAAACAAACCGCACAGCAAAGAGAGAGAGAGAAAAAAAAGGGGAGGGGAAGAAGGAACATGACAACAATCAAACCTCGTAGGGGCGTGAAACAAAGAAGAAGACAAGGGGAGGATAAAAGGGCCTCTCACCGGTCAATCCCAATTGAAAACAACAACAAAAACAAAAAGGAAAAAAGAAAAGAGAGAGAGAGAGGTCGACTGAATTTTATAAAAAAACAAAAAAAGTTGTATAAAATACTCGGGCTTAACGGTGAGCCCAACAACAAATACATAAATATAAATAAACACCAGCAATTCCCACCATCTCCATCCCACCATCCCTCCCTCCATTGCACGCTCTCTATTATTATATATATATATATATATAATTTACACTGCGGCTGAGGGGGGTGAGGTAAAATATGGGTTGAGCCCTCATTTCATCTCCAAAGTAATCTTTTGTCACATCATTCGTTTAGCAGCCACATTTGGCCTTTTTCTTCTTCTCCACCCTTTCACTGACAGCAGCAGTAGCCCCCTTGCCAGCGCGTGCCTTCCGTGCGGCATCTTCGCTCCCGTCGCCAACGTGAGCTCGCCCTTCCCCTTCCATTTCCTGCTGCAGAAGTGCCGTTCTCTTAAATGGCTCCTCCATCTCCGCAACATTTGGCAACCCGTTGGTGACTGCAGAAGATATCCCATTTCCGACGCTCGCGTCCTCCACCACCTGCGCTCGAAGCGGTTTGGCTTCAGTTGGAGCCATTTTCTCTGGGAGTAAGCCTTTCGCTCCCTGAACCAACTCCACCTTATTTCCCTCGGCCGCAATCGCACCTCGCACAGCGTCCTTCCCTTCACCCACCTCCTTGTTAATCTTGAACAAGGCATCTTTATGGCTCTGAGTGCCAAGCTTGTCGTGCTGTTCATTCAAAGGAGGAGATCCCCTCTTCTGCCTCAACGACTCCGCCATGGCGATGGCGTTCTGTTTTTGGTCCTCGGATTCTTCCATTCGTGCATGCATCCTATTCAGCTCGGTCTGAAGTTTTTTGCTCGACGCAGAATCATTGGCATACGACGCGTCTGCAATGGCCTTGGCGGTCCTCACACCGCCCTGCATGTCCTCTTTGCGTCTTGTTGTTTCAGTATTAAGTTCATCGCGTGGCGCCTGATCTTGCAGCTCACTCATTTGACGCTTGCACTGCGCATCCAGACGCGCACACCAGGCCTTCAAAGACGTTATTTCTCTACCGTAATTCACTCGCGCGTCATCCAGTTCCTGCCGAGCAGCCCGCGCCTCCGCCCTGAATCGCTCGGCCTCCTTCTCCGCCTGCTCCAGTTGTCTTCTGAGGGAACTATCATCCTTGGGGTGAAGGGACTGCGTGGAAAGTTCCTCAAGCTTTCTTCTCATTTCCGTTTCATCTCGCAATTTCGTTTTTAACTCATCATTCTCATCACTGAAACGTTTCAACGCACTTGACTGCCTTTCTAACTGTTCGCGCAGGGGCTGAATCTCGCCCCATGCGTCTACTGAAGAATTCGTTTCGGC